AAGGAAATGCGGATGGCCATGAATTGATTCTTATTTCCTGGGATTTGTTACATTATTTTTTCTGCTTTTATATTTATTTGAAATGTTTTATAAGAATGATATTTATATAGAGTATGAAAATGTGGGACTTCAACTGAGAACCGGAGCAGAACATTTTTGTACAATATAATCTGAACCATATCAAAGCTATTTTGTTTATTTACTTATTTATTGGTGCTGGGTATTGAACCCAGGGGCACTGAACCACTAAGCCACATCCTCAGCCCTTTTTAATTTTTTTATTTTGAGGCAGGGTCTCACTGAGTGGCATAGGGCCTCACTAGATTGCTGAGGCTGGCTTTGAACTCGMAATCCTCCTGCCTCAGCCTCCTGAGCCAYTGTGCCTGGCCTCAAAGCCATTATTTTTTTAAAGCAAAGAAAATACCCCCAAATGGTCCAATAACAAAATGGAAAATATGGTTTTCTTCTTTCGATTTTCTGTTATTTTGTGATTCCCTATGAGTGAGTGCCCAGTGTAATGGGGGAAAAAAATTTTACTAAAAGGATTTTGCAGGCCCTGAGAGGATCAGGTTCTCATGGATAACCTCCCAGACTTTACCCAGAAGCCTTACCACAGGAACTCGCAGGGAGCTGGGCCCATACATGGATTCCCCRTAGGAAGGGTTATTCACATTCACAGAGGGTCCACAAAGACATCTTCCTGGGGGCCCAGGATATCCTCGCTCCCCTTTGGGTCCCATTACAAGTTGTCCTAGGAAGCAACAGATTGTTATGTTACTAGAGCCAAGAAAGAGAAAACTGAACAACCCAGGAAGATATGAGCAACCTAAACAACAGAAAGGAGGTTGAAGTCCAAAGCATTTCAGGGTGGGCCTGAGAGASAAGTTCAAAGGGATGATTTTGATCCAAGATGCAAAGGAGATAAAAGGGCTGCTGAGAGATATAGCTTCTCTCTTATTCCTGTCTTGAAGACAGACAAGATAACTTGTGCTGCAGCAGCCATATTGCAACCATGGAGTAACAAGCATGAGAAGCCAATGTACAGGAAAGACAAGGGGCTCTTGGGATCTAGGGCCCTGACAGTGATACTTAGAGGCTGAACCAAAAGACAGCTACTGTGTATCTACGGATCTCTTTGTTGGAGAAAAACAGTGAACTATTTGTTTAGACCATTATTTATAGGGAACTTCTTACAGATGAACATGTTATTTTTTTAYGGATGGATAACTTTTATTGCTTTTTAATTTTCTTCTTACAATTTTTTTTGGAAGCATTGGAGATTGAACCCAGGGCATCATGCATGCTAGGCAAACACTCTACCACTGAGCTATATCCCCAGTCCTTTGTAATTTTATTTTGAGACAGGGTCTTGCTAAGTTGCCCAGGCTGGCCTTGAACTTGCCATCTTCCTGCTTCAGCCTCCAAGTAGCTAAGATTAAAGATGTGTATGACATGCTAATTTTCCTCTTATATATAAGATGATTACACAGGAACTTATGAATGTCGGTTTCTTTTATTTCCCTGGAAGAAAATGGAACTGAGAAGTCAAAACATACGCTGAAAAGCTTTTTTTTTTTTTTTTTTTTTTTTTTGAGACAGGTTTTAACTATGTTGCCAGGACTGATCTGGAACTTCTGAACATAAGTGACTCTCCCACCTAGGCCTCCTGAGCAGCTGGGACTACAGGCATCTACCACTATGCCTGGTTGCATGTTTTTTGTTTTTTGGGTTTTTTTTTTGTACTAGGGATTGAACCCAGGGGCACTTAACCACTGAGTCACATCCCCAGCTCCTTTTTTATATTTTATTTGGAGGCAGAGTCTCACTGAGTTGCTTAAGGCCTTGCTAAATTGTTGAGGCTGGCTTTGAACTTGCAATCCTCCAGTCTCAGCCTCCCAAGCTACTGGGATTACAGGCATGCACCACTGTGCCCAACTCACCTTGGTTTTTAAAGACCCTGATGTTCAGGCCACACCCACAGCAGTTCTACCAAGACTTCTAAGAATAGAAATTAATACACACACACACACACACACACACACAACACACACACATTTTTCAGTACTGGGGGTTGAACAGTGTACCTCATGGTACTAGGTTCGTGCAATCTAAGTAACCACTTTACCACTGGGCCACATCCCAGCGGTAGCCACCCATAATTTTAAAAGCTCTCAGGATGGTTCCAGTGTATACCAGGACCAAGAAACAGCTGGTCCAGGGAAACTGTATTTGTACAGGCTATTCACCCCACTCCCAGACCCTCTCCCTCCTTATCCTTCCCTCCCTCTCTGTCCCTAGGTGCCTCCTAACTCCCTTCTGATCTGGGGTCAAACATTATTTCCTCAGGGACAGCCATCTTGAGTCTTTACATTCTCATGTTCAACTGAGACAATTTCTTCGTTCCTTACATCTATTTTTGAGGGGAGGGAGATACTGGGGATTGGACCCAGGGGCACTTAACCACTGAGCCACATCCCCAGCCCTTTTTGTATTTTATTTAGAGACAGGGTCTCACTGAGTTGCTTAGGGTCTTGCTGAATTGCTGAGGCTGGCTTTGAACTTTCGATCCTCCTGCCTCAGCCTCCTGAGCTGCTGGGATGACAGGTGCGGGCCACCATGCCTGGCTTTCATCTATTCTTCATGACACTTATTACTGGTAATTCTATATATTGTAAGTTTATTAGATCAAACATTATCTTCTCCGCTAGAATGTAAGCCCCACAAGGGCAAGTCTGGTGAGTGTTCTCATCCACCAGGGCTTGACATTTGGTAGGAACGTGGTCCCTGTTTGATGACTGAATGAATGGATGCAGCCTCTGGAAAATACTAGAAGTCACCCTCCAGAAAAATGCTAGAGCAGGAGGCATCCAACCAAAAGAGAGGAAAGGAAAAATTGTGGGACTGAGAGGAGAATACATATCTGGGGAAACGGGGGCTTTGGAGAAGAGCCTATCATTGGCTTTAGCTGTGTAGCCTCTGGGGCAGCCAGGAACAGGGGAGTCAAGTTCATAGATCCCAGAAAGGGCAGGAGACAGGTCTGGTCAGGACCACAAGGAAGCAGTTGCAGCTGGAGAAGGAGACCCCAGGGGAAAGACCCTGACTCCCCGAGCCTTCCTGAGCTGACTGACAGATCTGTCCAGGACCAGAATGCTGACAGCAGGAGGCCAGGAGGCTTCAGCCTAGGAATATCGTGGGTAGCTAAGCACCTGGGGAAAATGAGGTGGGAATGCTTTGTGAGCGGGATTATAAGAGTGGTATTGGAACAACTTTCTAGAAGATTCTGTGACTCCCCCCACTACCCCCGCCCCACGGACTCCACCAGAACCATGCCCTCAGAGAGAGTCAGGAATTTGCCAGTTGATTAGTGGTGAGGCTGAGATTTGAACTCATGTTTGACCTGACACTGTGCCATTTGGAAGACAAACTTCAAGAATACTGATGCTTTCAGGAAGCCTGCAATTCCCAGGTACCAAGCTGATTCACTTATACTCTGTCTGGGGGCAGGAAAGACCCAGCCTAATTTGTAATTTGATCATCCCCAATTGCATCCGAAGGACACTTTGCTTGTATTCTCTCTCCCTCCCCAACTTCTCTTTACTTGGGTGATTAAAAAACTCCTACCCTCTCCGACTCTGCCCCCTCCCCTGACCCTGCTCCCATGTGCTGGGCACCAGCATCAAGGTTACCTCCCCACAGGACAGGACGTGGCAGGGAGCCTGCTGCCACTACTGCAGTTTCCCTACCGGTTTCCTCCCAGCTGTTGGAGGACATCTGTTACTCCTGCCTGCTTCCTGCCAGGCTGAACCCAAGGGCACAGTGACCCGAACTACCCCACGCGGGCTTCATCACCGTGCCCTGCAGCCGCTGGACCCGGCTCTCATCTTTGCCCCCAAGAATCTTCCACTTCTGTTGGCTGCAGTGGTGGCAGCAGGTGACAAGAAAGGGAAAGGCAGGGGAATCAGCAGGATAATCTCCAGCGGCTGCGTGGGGGTCCCAGGATTTCCACCGAGTGATTGGGAACAAGGGTGGCCACTTGGCAACTCTGTGACTTTGTGGAAGTCACTTCTCTCTAAGGCTTAAGGTTCTCAGAAAGGGAGACCTGGACTAGCTAGACCATTCATCCTGTGGTCTGGAGCCCAGGATGTGCCAGGATGGAGCAGGGTTTCAGAATCTTGAGTGGAGATATCTACACCCACCAGAACAGGTCAAACCAAAAAAAAAAAAAAAAAAAAAAAAAAAATTTTTTTTTTTTTGAACCAGGGATTGAACCCCAGGGCCCTTAACTGCTAAGCCACTTCCCCAGCCCATTTTATTTATTTATTTTATTTTGAGACAGGTCTCACTAAGTTGCCAAGACTGGCTTTGAGCTTATGATCCTCCTGCCTCAGCCTCCTGAGCTTCTGGGATTACAGGTGTGCTCCATTACACCAGGCCCAAATCTACTTCTATCAGACTCTCAGAAATACTCTTAGGAATTACTAGGGGGTCCTGTTCCAACTCTGGATGATTATCCAATTGGTGTCAGGCATAGGGATCTCTCTTCTAAATTCCTCCCCCCTCTTCTCTCCCCACCTGCCCTCTACAGACTTTTACAAAAAGCAGGATTATTGTCCCACTGTGCCTCTTTCACCTCCCTCTGAGAGGCCCCTCAGAAAGGAAGTAACTTCAATGGAAGGCACAGGGAGGGAACAACCATTTAGAGAGATGGCCCACCTCCTGCTCGGCTGCTGGCCGTCACCATTAAGTCCCGCTCAGATGGCCAGGTGTAATGGTGGGCCACCCCCCATGCATCCCAACTACCAGGTGCCCTGGGGGGATGTGAAGGCCACTCAGCCACAGGCACTGCCCTCAGGAAACTTGTCCTCTGGCTTGAAGAAAGAACACTTTTGCAAAAAAAAAAAAAAAAGTGCAACCAATAGAAGAGCCATAACAGCAAGGCACTGTATCAGCTATACTGTCGGGGCCAAGGAAGCCATATTGAAAAGAGGGCTTTGAAGGAAACAGAGAATTTTGCTGGACGGGCAGAGGGTGCAGGAGTGCATGTCAGGCGATGTGGGCCCAGAGAGACTATAAGAATAGGCTCCAGCACTACTGAGAACGGAGGAACTGCTGACAGTCGTCATCTGGTCCCATTGGTGTCCGTGTCCCCCGCTCTCACCACAAGAGGAAAATGGAATTCAAGTCGTATGAGGGCTGCCATTTATAAAGGCCGAAAAACACAGTGAGAGCATTAAGGTCTCAGTTTTCCAAGGAAATCCCCAAGCATCTCAGCCTCATGCCCCCAGGATCCTCAGTTTTGAGAGTATTTAAGCTCTCCAGGGTCCCAGAGAGTTCCTTTCATAGGCAAATCCAGGCCTCAGGTTGTCCTCTGGGATTGGCAGCTCATGGCAATGGACTCCAGGGGAACACTATACCAGAACTAAAGAGGATAAGGACTAGTCCAAAAGACCCCTATCCAGGTCACCCAGCCAACTCACAGAAACAGAATGTAGAATGGCCTGGGCTGTATCTCAAGTTTAGTTCCCTTGAAAACAGGGAAATAGGTGGAGAGATGAAGAGAGAGGGATCTCCCTAGACATGGGGGTGATGGGTACCCCTGTATCCTGGGGAAGAGAAGAGGTCTCAGAAAGAGTGCTTGTGGGTGCACCTTGGGAAGCAGGGATTCCCAGCCTTGGAAGTGTTCTCACACCCAAGCATGGCATGAGGGCAGCATGAGGTCACCAGGTAGCTATGGACAATATAGGTGTGGACAACAGGGATTTCAGAGGCCAAGGGTAGATCAAAGGCTTAAGGAATCTTCCCTGATATTTTTTCTGCCATAATTCACCAGTATCTTTGCCCAACCTGGTTGTGGCAGTTGGGAGAAGTGGAGAGAACCCCTAAAGAGCCTGAAATTGAATTGTTCTGGTACCCTGACAGGTGGGGATCTCAAGAGTCAACTTTCATTTGGTTTTAAGGATCTAACAGACTATGACATTTCTCTCCCATCCCATGATGTGGCTGCCAGTGTGTGGAATTCTAAAATGTCTTCATTTTTTTTTTTTTTTGAAATGTTGGAATAAAAATCGTTTGGATGCATTTTGTGTAAATGAAGACAAAACCCTGGCAGAGTCAGGAGTCTTCTGGCACCTAGAAATGCTGTCTGTGTATGGGTGACGGGTTTTGAGAGGCCTTACTTTGAGCTGACAGGGAAATAGCATAAAGGCCTTAGCTGAACAAATCAAACAAGGCAAAACAAGGTAGCAGTGTACCAATGTCCTCTTCAATAATGCACTTTAAAAAAATTCCTTTTTATTAATCCCATCTCATCTCCAAAGCAAATAAATAAGGCCTCTCTCATAACCCTGTGTAAGATAGGAAAGTACAAAATGCCACCTCTGCTTCCGTGTTTAAGAGAATATTTTGGAGCCACAAAACATATTTTTTTTCTAGGAAAAGGTGTCAGTTGATGAAATATGTACCTTTTTCACTGACGGTATAAATGACATCACTCATGTAATGTCCCCCCCCCCCGACCCCGTCTTTTCTCTGTTTGTTTTCCAAAATACTAAAACAAAGCCAGAATGCCATTTATGACTCTTTTTTTTGGTGAGGAGTATTGGGGATTAAACCCAGAGGCACTTAACCACTGAGCCACATCCCTAGACCATTTTTGTATTTTATTTAGAGACAGGGTCTCACTGAGTTGCTTAGGGCCTCACTAAGTTACTGAGGCTGGCTTTCAACTCATGATCCTCCTTCTCAGTCTCCTGAGCCACTGAGATTTCAGGTGAGTTCCACCACACCTGGCTGGCATTTATGAGTCTTGGTGTAAACACGGAATAAGCCAAGGTGTGGAAAAATGATAAAGATATTAAAGCACCTCTAGCCGTTTCTAATTGGAAAGAGAAGAAGAGCTCTGTGAGCATTGCTTTGTCCCTTCTCTGGGAGGCKGGCCAGAAGTGTCACCCTGTAGATCAAGCCCAGCAGTGTAACTCTTACCTGCAGATGGGGGGCCTGGGGGCCCCGGGGGGCCTGGACGGCCAGGTTGACCAGAAGGCCCAGGCTTGCCAGGTGGGCCCATAACTCCACTATCTCCCTTCTGTCCCTGACAGAGAGAAAGGCACAGCCTGTTATGATACGTGGCAGGGCAAATTTCCTTCCCCATTTGTCTCTAAATCAGGGACCACTTAGCACTTAGGAACAAGAGCTCAGGGTAGGACACAAGCCCAGAAGTCTTGGACCACCAAGCTCCTAGAAGACTCAGGGCAAGTCTGAGATATAGTGACAGCTGAGATATAGTGACAGTTGCAAGATTATAGGCCTTGGTTCTTGCTCTGTCCCAGAAACAAGGCACCTGACATCTGAACAGAACCAACCTGACCCGCCCCCTGGGATGGATTAGGAAATAGAAGCTCAGAAAAGAGCAGGGATTTATGCAAGTCCCCTGATATCAAGTTAGACCTGGAATTCAGGCTTTCTGCTTGCTTCTCAAGACCGTTTGTTTATTTCCCTGGCTTCCTGTGGCTCTCTGGATAAAGATCCAGCTCCTTCCTTTGGCTTAGGAAACTGGGCATGGCCAGTCTTGCTAGTCTTGTTCCACTTTTCTTTTCTTTTTTGGTCTTYAAGAGCACTATAACTCTTATTCCCCCTTCTCAAAAAAACTCTTCTCTCTGCCCAGACTCCTCTTCTGCCCCCTCTAGCCTTCAGCTCTCAGCTCAAACGTCACAGCAAATCCATCCCTGACTTCTCAGGGGGACTCCATCTTCCTGGCACAGGTTCTCCTAACGTGGCCTCTCTCCTTCGTGGCAATCATCCCAGATCCCTGTGTACATATTATTTGGGTGGTTATTTCATCCATGTGTCCTCATGAGGCTTGACCTCCCTGTGGGTTGGCATCTAGTGCTCACCTCCCCTCCCCAGACCAGATGAGGGAGGAGAAAGAAGCCAACAACACAAAGAGGAGAGAGATCTTGCTCTATCAAGCTAGAGTTTTCACCTTGACCTTGGGACCCTGGGTAGCTCATATGATTCTATGCCTCAGTTTTGTGTTCTGTAAAGCAGGGCCAGTGAATATCTGTCCACATAGGTATTTTTTGTTTTGTTTTGGTTTGGTTTTGGCTAACAAAGATCTCAAAGGTGAAAAATGTGGTTGGCACACAATGAAGGGCTATGTGGAGCCACATGATTATCCCAACAAATGGCCTGGTTTCATCACATAGTAAAAGAAATCCTGATTTCTTTCTCTTTTTTTTCTTCTTCTTTTTTAAAATTTTGCTTTTTGTTTTGTTTTGGGTTTTGATGCTGGGGATTGAGCCCAGGGGGCACTCTACCATGGAGCTACACCCCCATCCCTTTCTATTGCTTGTTTTGAGACAGAATTTTGCTATGTCACCCAAGCTGGCCTGAAATTTGCAATCCTCCAGTTGGGATTACAGGTGTGCATCAACATGCCTGCCCTGATTTTCTTAAAGAAAGATATAACCCAAAGCTACAGCTATTCCTCTAGGAGTGGAGTATGCTCTTTGCTGCCTATTCTGGGAGTTTCAAGAGCAAAGATCAGGCTCTCAGTTCTCACTCAAGGGATTCTTAGAACTGACCCCCCTCTCCCCAAGAACTGAAGTATGCTATAGGCTCTTTGTTGAGCAGTTTGCTAACTACCCTTGCACGAGGCCTTATGGGGACAGTGATTGTCACCTGACATCTTTGGCCTGGCTCTCCTTACTATACTTGTGCCTTGGCAAGCTTGCCCACCTGATGAAACACAATCTTCTCCAAGTCTGAGAAACACACATACTGGGGACTCCTTTCCAATCACAAGGTGACACATGACCTGCTGCCTTGTTGACTTGTCCTTAGGGGCCCTGTCACTAATGCCTGGTGAGTTCTTACACTCTTAAGATGGGACCCATGAGGTCAGTTTGTTTCTGAATCCACGCTCTTGGAGGGCATTCTGAAGGTGCGGGCCAAGCTGAAGCATTCCAAACAGTAAGCAAGACGGGGCCCAGAATGGCAAAGGAAGTCACACTGGCTTAATATAGCCACAGTTAAGGCTTGTTTTTCTAACAGCCAGGTCAGCTGACTCTGAGCACAGGAAGTACACAGCTTGAAGGAGCTGGAGGTGCTCCTGATTCTGACAGTAGCTGTAAAGGAGACTTTGACGCAGAATGAGCCACGTCTCTATCAGTAGGACTCACAGAGCCGAGCTTTCCAGGAAAAGCTTTCTTTATTCCTTATTTGCTACAAAGCTGGGAGATCTCTCTCTCTCAAGGAAGTTGTTGTGTCTCCTTCATTGAAGGTTTTTATGATAAAGTCAGCTGTTGCTTTCTTGAACCTGCCCATAGGCAAGTCCTGGAGTGGGAAAGAGATGGGCAGAAGATGCATGGGGGAAAGCCTGTGGACATACTCTAAGTTCTAATCCTGGTTTTGCAATTAATTGACTCTGTCATTGAGGGGTCTTGGGCAAGCAATGCCACCTCCCTGTCCCTCAGTTTCCTTGAAGAGATTTGGGTTAAATGGTCTCTCAAATCCTTCTGATTTGGAAATTCCAGTCTGAAATCCCCTCTGGATTTTTGGTTCCTGGTTTTGGATGGATTACAACAACCTCCAGAAGCTCTTGGCACTGCTGGCCCAATAAACACTAGACACAGGACTCTACGCTAGGAAGTGAATTTGTGACAAAAACAACATCCCCTGGCCAGGTACCAAGGCTCACCACTCAAGTGTCAGCTCACTGAACGACACCAAGGGCTTGGAGCACTCTCAGGGTGTTGATAGCATCTTCTAGAAAGGATGAGCTCACTCCCTAGCTTCTCTGAGCTCCCAGATGTGGTTTTGGGTTGGCTCTTACTAGTGATCCAATGGAATCAATGTCAGCAGGGTCAGGAAATAATCTTTCTGGCTTTGACTCTCCCAGGAAAAGTTGGACACTGTCCAAGAAAAATACTTGAGGACAGAAGTCTGGAACCCCAAGCATAAAATAGTCTGGATGGGAATCATCGGTATGGAAGAAAGTGATGAAATATTTCTCCCCTATTTTCTTCTTCTTTTTCAGAGTCTAGATTTAAGGAAAGTAGTGTCTGTGGTGTCACGGTGAAGCCGTGGCCATGCCAGTCATCATAAAACTTTGAAAATGAGACTGGGCTGTTGTCACTTCAAAAAATTATTATGAGGTTTGCATTATTCTGATGGGAACTTCTGTCACTTCTAAATTTACCTGGAGAAGACTGTAATTAGTCAGTAACATATAGTGTTACTGACTCTGAACCCTAGCTGCACATTAGAACCACATGGGCAGCTTAAACAAAACTAAACTAAAATCAGGCTAGTCCAGGTTGATTGCATCAGTCTGGGAAATAAGGCCTAGGTATGGAGGACCATGAGAGGCAAATCTGAAGTACACCACTGTACCTGGTTTGGAATCTGTATTCAATAGCTCCTCYACCCCAGGTGATTCTTTCTTTCTTTATTTATATATTTATTTTTATACTGGGGATTGAACTCAGGGGCACTCGACCACTGAGCCATATCCCCAGCCTTATTTTGTATTTTATTTAGAGACAGGGTCTCACTGAATTGCTTAGCGCCTCCCTAGGTTGCTGAGGCTGGCTTTGAACTCTTGATTCTTCTGTTTCAGTCTCTTAGCTGCTGGGATTATCAGCATGCGCCACCACACCCAGCTCAAGTGGTTCTGATGTAAACTACAGATCTAGCCCAAGGAAATAATTAGGAGAATGGAAAAAGCTTTGAATCCAAAGATCTTCACCTTTCAGGACTCTTTCTCATCTGGCTAGGTCTCTCTTGTCATGCTTACTCATGTACCCACATATGATACGGATATTAAAACATGTTTTAAGGGGCTGGGTTTATGGCTCAGTGGTATAACGCTCACCTAGCACGTGCAAGGCCCTGGGTTCGATCCTCAGCACCACATAAAAATATAAATAAAGAAAGAAAGATATTGTGTCCAACTAAAAAATTAAATATTTAAAAAAAAACATGTTTTAAAATATTAATTGTTATCTACAGGGGCAAGCAAAACTACATATTGTGATTTTAAGTTAAAAGTTAAGAACAAAATAAACTACACATTGCAGATGTAAGAAACAACAACCTGAAACTATAAAAAGAAATAATTCTGGAAGGAAATATTTGAAAATCACACCATCACCACCAACCATGTATATGCTTGAGTATTGGATCTTTGGATTATGTCCATCTTATTTTTCTGAATTTCTAAGTTTTTGTGATGATTATATGTTATATTTATAATGAGAAGGAAGGAAAAACTCAACAAACTGAATGGATTCTAAATGTATCTCTACAAAGAAACAATTAATATTTGAGGTGATGGATATGATTTTATCATTCTGCAATATATATATATATATATATATATATATATATTGTTCAAAATGATGTTTTCTTTGAACATATTCACAATCCTTGACTTTAAAGAGCAAGTCGTGCAAGTATATACATTCATATATTTTAAAAATAAAATTATTTAAATAAAGCTGAATTTAAGAAGTCTTTCTGAAATTAAAAAGAGCCAGGGTTGAGGATATAGCTCAGTTAATAGAATGCTTGCCTCACATATACAAGGTCCTGGGTTCAATCCCCAGCACCACTAAATAAATAAATAAATAAATAATTCGCCTTGAAATTAAAAAGAGCCAACAAAATGAAAATTTAAAAAGTAATGGTGCGCCCTTCTCAAGAGTGCTGTCCAGAAGTTTTTCTGAGGACCTCAGTATAGCTCTAGAGCCGGCCAGCGAAAATGTACCCTACTCTTTCCTTTTCCTGTCACATCACCTGGCTTAATGTAGGAGCTTGCTGACCTAGGGAAGCTCAGAATGAGCTAAACCCTTACAAACACAGTTAAAAGGATTGCTTACAAATTGGGGGCCATGTAGGGAAAAATCAACCTATCCTTAAGACCCAGAAGACCTCTCAATGGTGGGGAAATACGTGGGCTGTTACAGATTTTCTGGGTAAAACAGCCTTTCATTCTGAGTTGCTTTGGTCTAGATAGACTTGTTCCCATGAACTGAAGACCCGTTCTTGCTTCTGGTCTTGAGAACAGCAACCATGGCACAGCCTATTCTGTCTACCTGGACCTGTGGCTAGCCTGAGAAGTCAGAAGTATCTGGAAATGGTGCTGCTTCTGCCCACCATCCCAGAGGGCACTGGAGACTGGGGCTATGGGTTAGCTCTGACACGACCCACCTGCCTCTCCACACAGTCGGGGTCAGGAAGTGCTGACCTTAGTTAGGGGGGTGGCAAACCCTGAGATCCTTACCTGCTTGCCACGTTTCCCTGGTCTTCCTGTGGGTCCTCGGTGTCCTGCTAACCCAGGTTCACCCTTTGGACCCATTTCACCCTGGAAAGAAGAAAGAGAAGTGAAAGAGAAATTGGGGCATGTGAAGTGGGCATATCTAGACAGGTCTGTCCATATCTAGACTGGCCATGAGGGAAGATCTAGATTATTCCAAATCTTTTCCAGATGGGCTGCCCTGGGAGCCTGGGAGAGGGATGAGGTTATGTAAAAGGTTGACACATCTTTCAAAGAATAAGATGGGAAGAAGCCAACCCTGAGTGGGTTGAGAAGCTAATCCTAATCCTGTATGGGTTACTTAATCTCTGGGAGAGATGGATATAGGCCCAAAGACATTTTGGTGGCCAAAAAAACCCAAAAGAACGGGGGAGGGTGTGTGGGGGGTGAAAACCACATCCAGAATAGCCAAAGTAGGAGACTTCTGCATTCCAGTCACGTGTGCACCTGATGCTACAAACTGTCCCGGAGAAAAGGATTTCACTTTTAGTTAATATTTTATATTGTGCTTTGTGATGTTTGCTTTTAACCACAAAGTCAAATCTGTAGGCCTTCCTTTCTTCCTTCTTACCAGGGAATGAACTCAGGGGCACTTGACCACTAAGCCCCATCCCCAGCCCTTTTTTTTTGCATTTTATTTAGAGACAGAGTCTCACTGAGATGCTTAGGACCTCCCTCAGTTGCTGAGCCTGGCTTTGAACTTGGGATCCTCCTGCCTCAGCCTCCTGAGGTGCTGGGATTGTAGGCATGCACCACCAAGCCCGGCCTGTGGGCTTTTTTAATGATTAATTGGACACCATTTGTCAGCTATCACGTTTGGGAAGTTTCTGCTCATCTGATGCCTTTACCGAAAATTTTAAATTCCCCGCCCTTCATTGCTTTGAGTTCATGCTCACTTCCATTTGATTTAAACGAAGACTCTTTTTTGGAAGGAGAGTGTTTCCAATGTATGGTAAAATATTCAACATAATTATTATAAAAGGCCTGGAAAACAATGTACACAACATTTCTAATGGAAAATCACGTATACTGAACCATCAGAACCAAATGCACCGATCCCAGAATTTCATAGGATAAGGCCAATCTTTTGCGAGGTCCATTTCTTCCTTCATCTTAGTTTCTTTCCTTCTTCCCTATGTTCTCCTAGGATCCTGGTCCCACTTCACTATTTTTGGGGGTCATGAACTCACAGGACACATCATTCCTAYCTCCAGTTACCCTCCTACCATGAGCCATCAAGTAGCCATCACCACCGTGAGAGTTTCCTTAGCAACCAGGGACTCAGAGAAAATAGAAACCCAGGCTCCTTTGCAGTTGGTGGTCAGGAGAGGTACAACACAATGGAAAATTCCAGAAGAGGATAATATAATATGATGAGGATCAAGAATAGGCCTCTGAATGATCTGTCAATTCAACCAACACAAAGAATTTGTTCCTTCTTGAGACACCAATGTCTTGTATCAGCAAGAATTTTCTTGAAGTCTAGGCATCCTCACCTACATGTGGCATCCTTGAGCATTCTCTGCAGAGTGTGTTAGGGGACAGGATGGATTCTATATGGTTATGAAATGTTTGGGCCAATTTCCCTTAGCTGGCCAGAGAAGGACAGGGGAGGTTTTATTTAACTAGGAGAAAACAGCAACATAAACAAAATAAATTTTTTTAGAGATTGTCAGAAGGCAGTGTGGCCCTTCTCTTTATCAACTGAAAGCAGCCCGTAATTTTTTGATCTAATTTCTCTCCTAAAACTTAATTATGGTTACCTTATCAGCTCTGTCTTAAAACAGCCTACCACAAAGGAGGGAAGACAATTCTTTTCAACGCCAGGTCTAGTAAATGGCGCAGAGACTGGAGAAGCTGTCATGCTTAATTTTACAGTAATTTATGACTCTTTGATGTTCGTTGTTGCACTGAATGAATACCTAACCTAAATCTTTTAAAATAAAATTTAAAATTTTCCTTTTTAATGTTTCTTTTAATTTGCTTATAAAATTACAATTTTAAAAATGCAACACCCCATTTAGGGTAGCAGAAACAGAGTTTCTGACAAATTCAGGTGGCAATACAATCAGAGTAAATTAATGCATGATGACTGAAAATATGGAAACATGCTCTACTGGTTGAATACTGTCAGATAAAAATTATTTAGATATGGAAAATGATATTTAGGGTAAACTTTAAAATGTTAAAAATACTAAGTGTCCATTTGCACTCTGAGACTTAAGTTAAAATAACAGTTTCCAAATGGAAAAACTGTGGGCAAAGGGGAGGGAGGGATGGGGAGGGAGAATGGGGACAGGAAAGATGGTGGAATGAGATGAACATCATTATCCTAGGTACATGTATGACTGCACATATGGTGCAACACTACATCTTGTACAACCAGAAATGAAACGTTGTGCTGCAGTTGTGTACAATGAATCAAAGTGCATTCCGCTGTCATGTATACCTACATCTCAAAGCCCTAGAAAAAGAAGAACAAATCAACACCAAAAGCAGTAGAAGACAGGAAATAGTTAAAATCAGAAATGAAATTGAAATAAAAGAAACAGTTAAAAAAACAAAAAGTTGGTTCTTTGAAAACATAAATAAAGTAGATAAACTCCTGGTCATGCTAATGAAGAGAAAATGAAAACTGAAATTACGAAAATACAAGATGAAGAAGGAAATATCACAATGGACACATATGAAATATAGAAGATAATTAGAAAGTATTTTGAAAATTTATACTCTAATAAAATAGAAAATACCAAAGACATTGACAAATTTCTAGACATATGACCTACCCAAACTGAATGAGGTGGTCGTACACGATTTAAATAGATCAATTTCAAGTAATGAAATAGAATAGAATGCCATCAAAAGTCTACCAACCAAGAAAAGCCCAGGACTAGATGGACTCTTAGCCAAGTTCTACAAGGCTTTCAAAGAAGAATTAACATCAATACTCCTCAAAGTATTCCATGAAATAGAAAAATGAGGGAACCCTTCCAAACTCATTCTATGAGGCTAATATCACCCTGACACCAAAACCAGACAAAGACACATCAAAGAAAGAAAACTTCAGACCAATATCCCTGAAGAACATAGATGCAGAAATTCTCAATAAAATTCTGGTAAATTGCATACAAAAACATTAGAAATATAGTGCATCATGACTAAGTGGGATTCATCCCAGGGATGCAAGGTTGGTTCAACATATGGAAATCCATAAACATAATTCATCATATTAATAGACTTAAAATAAGAATCATATGATCATCTAAATAGATGCAGAAAAAGGATCTGACAAAATACAGCACACCTTCATGCTCAAAACACTAGAAAAACTAGGGATAGTAGGAACATACCTCAACATTGTAAAAGCTATATATGCTAAACCCAAGGCCAGCATCATTCTAAATGGAGAAAAATTAACAGCATTCCCGCTAAAAACTGGAACAAGACAAGGATGTCCTCTTTCACCATGTCTATTCAACATCATCCTTGAAACTCTAGCCAGAGCAGTTACCCAAAACAAGAAATTAAAGGGATACAAATAGGTAAAAAAAGAACTCAAACTATCACTATTTGCTGATGACATGATTCTATAGCTAGAAAATCCAAAAACTTCCACCAGAAAACTTCTAGAACTAATAAATGAATCAGCAAAGTAGCAGGATATAAAATCAACACCCATAAATCAAACACATTCCTATATATTAGCGATGAATCCACTAAAAGAGAAATTAAAAAAACTACTCCATTCACAGTAGCCTCAAAAAAACAAAACAAAACAAAACAAAAACCTGGGAATCAATCTAATGAAAGAGGTGAAAGACCTCTATAATGAAAACTATAGAACACTAAAGAAAGAAATTGAAGAAAACCTCAGAAGATGGAAAGATCTCCCATGCTCCTGGATAGGCAGAATTAATAATGTCAAAATGGCCATACTTACTACCAAAAGTGTTATACAGACTTAATGCAAATTCTATTAAAATCCCAATGACATTTTTCAGAGAAATAGAAAAAGCAATCATGAAATTTATTTGGAAAAATAAGAGACCCAGAATAGCTAAAGCAATCCTTAGCAAGAAAAGTGAAGCTGCAGGCATCACAATACCAGACCTTAAACTGTACTACAGAGCTATAGTAACAAAAATGGCATGGTACTGGCACCAAAATAGACTTGTAGACCAATGCTACAGAATAGAGGACACAGAGACAAGCCCACATAAATATAGTTATCTCATACTAGACAAGGGTGCCAAAAACATTCACTGGAGAAAAGATAGCCTATTCATCAAATGATGCTGGCAAAACTAAAAATCCATATGTAGCAAAATGAAATTAAACCTGTATCTCACCCTGCACAAAAATCAACTCAAAGTGGATCAAAGACTTAGGCACTAGAACAGAGACCCTGCGCCTAATAGAAGGAAAAAATAGACCCAAATCTTCACCACGGGGCTGGAGCTGTAGCTCAGCGGTAGAGCGCCCACCTCGCATGGGTGAGGCACTGGGTTCCATCCTCAGCACCACATAAAAATAAATAAAGATTTTGTCCAAATACAATTAAAAAAATATTTAAAAAAAAATCTTCACCACTTCGGCCTAGGATCTGACTTCCTTAATGACACTCCTAAGGTGCAAGAAGTAAAATCAAGAATCAATAAATGGAATGGATTCAAATTAAAAAGCTTCTTCTCAGCAAAGGAAACAATTAATAACATGAGGAGAAAATCTTTACCATATGCAACTTCAATAAAGCACTAATCTCTAGGATATATAAAGAACTCAAAAAACTTAACACCAAAAAAAATCAAATAACCCAATCAGTAAATGGGTCAAGGAACTGAATAGACACTTCACAGAAAAAGAAATATAATTGATAAACAAATATGAAAAAGTGTTTAACATCTCTAGCAATTAGAGAAATGCAAATCAAAATTACTCTAAGATTTCATCTCACTGCAGTCAGAATGGCAATCACCAAGAATACCGGTAACAATAAATGTTGATGAGGATGTGGGGAAAAAGGTACATTCATACATTGCTGGTGGGACTGTAAATTGGTGCAACCACTCTGGAAAGCAGTATGGAGATTCCTCAGAAAATTGGAATGGAACCACCACTTGACCCAGCTATCCCACTCCTTGGTTTATACCCAAAGGACTTAAAATCATCATACTACAGTGACGCAGCCACATCAATGTTTATAGCAGCTCAATTCACAATAGCTAGATATGGAACCAACCTAGGTGTCCCTCAATAGATGAATGGATAAAGAAAATGTGATATATATACTCAATGGAATATTACTCAGATTTAAAGAAGAGTAAAATTATGGAATTTGCCAGTAAGTGGTTGAAGTTGAAGAATATCATGCTAAGTGAAATAAGCCAATCCCACAAAACCAAAGGCCGAATGTTTTCTCTAATATGTGGATGCTAATTCATGATAAGGTGAGAGGCACTAGGGAAGAACAACATTACTTTAGGTAGAGGGAAGTGATATGAGGGGAGGGGAGGGGATGTGGGGATACGAAAGATAATAGAATGAAACAGACATTATTACTGTATGTATAATGTGACTATATGACCAATATGATTCTGTAATATGTACACTCAGAAAAATGAGAAGTTATAGCCCATCTATGTATGATATATCAAAGTACATAAATGCATTCTACTATCATGTATAACTAATTATAACAAATTTAAAAAATTAAAATGAAGAAAATAACAGTTTCCAATGTCAATACCTTATGACATGAGGCTCCAGCATGACTGTCAGCTTAGGAGTTAGTTCTAAATGGTCATTTGTATGTCCCTTGTCTCTTCATTCCCTAGCAACGAGGGTTAGCAACCAGACCCTAACCCTAAGCAAAAGTTTTCAAAAATCTATCAGTCATTTGCTACCTTCACAAATGTCATTCTATCTGCATGCCACTCTATTGTTATTTGCTGACTAATTTTTCTTTAAGTTACCTGAGCCTGACTTCATTTTTATTAGGCCTTGTTCCAAGCAAGATACCCACTAAATATTTCACTATTTAAATAAAATCTCTTTAAATTAAAAAAAAATCAACAATTAAAAATGTTTACTGTCATTCAATTACAATAATTCTGTGCACTTTGAAGAAGACAGAAGAAGAGTTTAGGCTGMAGAGACACGAAGCCAAAAAATGGTTGTACTTTGCCCTGAAGCCTACGGGCTGAGAGGGGCCTTGACCACTGCACCTCAGATGTGAATCCCTTGTCCCAAAGTTCCTGCCCTTGAACATCATCATMGTCTTCCAAGAAGTGGGAAAAACAAAGAAGGACTTCTCTCCACCTGGTGGAAGCTGTTTTTCTGCTGCTGCCTGGAGGGAAGTCTCAGACCACCCTGCCATCCTCTCCTCCCTGTGTAAAGAAACATGCTYTTCACCCTAAACCAGAACCTTCCACAGTTAAACTTGCTTTCCGTGGTGGACAAAGGGGCGGGGCTCTCTTGTTGTGTGTGGAGAGACCTTTTTTTTTCTTTTTTTTTTAACTGAGACCTATTTTCACTATTTTGGGGTACTTACTTTTTGCCCCAACATTCCAGGAAATCCTGGGAAACCCTGTGAACAGAACAACAAAGTTCATGACCACCTCTGAAATAACCCTTGAAAAGGCAGAGGATGAGCTTGGTTCACCCATTTTCAAGATGGAGGCCTGCCAGTCCCATCMGTCATCCAGTCTCCAGGTGGGGTGAGCTGGGAGCTGCTACTTGCATGGCAGTTTAGCATTTCTACGTTCTTACCTTTTCTCCTTTGGGACCCAAGTCACCCCTTTCACCTCTGGATCCCTAGGAGGAAACCACAGGAGAGAGGCAATGAGTTCATATCAAGGGGGTGGGTGGGGATTGAAGCATTTCACACGGAAAAGCTCCCTAAGGCAACCCCCTCATTTTAACGAAGACATAGGCTTACAGACGTGACGTGGTTTGCTCAGCAAAGGAAAGGTTTGTGACCACCTTCTGTTTGGACCAAAAAAAAACTTATGCATAATAATGAAGCACAACTTACAGAAAATCTTGGGTCCTAGATCCTCTCTTATCCCAAAAGGAAGTCTGTTCTCAAGTTCCTTCTGGCTTTTTTTTTTTTTTTTTTTTTTTTGGTTTTGACAGATGAGAAGGGCAGGTGGTAGAAGTCTGCTCTGAGGACACAGACCTGCCACCTTCCTCTGGCATCCCCATGCATACTGTGTACCTCCACTGGGAGTGGCCCCTTATCCTGCCTCAGGAGACCCCTCACCTCTTCCTCAGTCCACTGACAAAGGACAGAGGAACAGCTAGGAATGGCTTTTGTAGTTAGTGACTAATGAGAGGCCTGGGCCCGTCCTCTGTCCGCCACCAACTGTGGAGCCTGTAACCCAGACCAGGCTCTGGGATGCCATCAGAGACAAGTACTGACCTTTTCCCCTCTGGATCCTGGGTAGCCCTAAAAGAAAGCAGAAAGTGCATTTAAAATCAGCTCTGTAGGGCCTGTGGGTGTGGTGGGAGAATGGAAAGAGTCCCCCAATGTAGTGTTGAGGGGTCTCCACATCACATTGCAAGTTTTAGTGGGGTTGCAACAGATGTCCCGGAAGATTGTGCTTAGACCAGGCCTCAGAAGAACATGGTTTCCTCATCGCACAAAGCTTTTCATCTGTTCTGTTGTCCAGAGGCTTGACCTTAACAGGCCAGGAGAATGGCAGGAATGGCATCCTTATGCCCCTGAATTTCAGGGCACKATGTCCCACAAAGGGCCTGTAAAGACTAGCGCCCGTCACTGGCTCTCCAATATCTATGACATTCTGCAGCCCAGGATGGTGACTCTGCCCTTCCCATCTCTGAGGACAGCAGCTGCTCTAGAGTCTTAGTGAGATGATCTGGGGAGATCCATCTGGACCACACACTGACCTTGGAGCCCATTGGTCCTCTTGACCCTGGCAAGCCCATCATGCCCAGGTCACCTTTTTCTCCCTGTGTGAWTTACAAGAGGGGAAAGGAGACACACAGTGACATTTCTTAGAGAAAAACAGAACCAAGAGAATCATAGGCAAGACTGGGATGGAACCAGGAACATGGGGGTTGGATTGTGAATCTGAGGTCCCCAAATGACCCCTTGCCCCCTCCTAGGGGCCCAAGGTTCCATACTCCACCTTTCATTCTGGTTTGAGATTAAATATAAAATGAAAATGCCCAAGGTAGAGCAGATCTCCAAACTAAATACTCACTAAGCTGTTGTAAATGGTGATACTTGATCTTTTCCTAGAAAAGGTTGTCAGAGGGTAGGGGAGAAAGCATGAAGGCATGGAGATTCAGAAGACAAAGTGTTAACACACACAMAAAAAAATCTTTGTCTGATTTGCTCTTTGCATATGGAGGGCATTTGAGACATCTTCATAGATTCTCACTCTAGGTTTTCAGTTGTGTATAGTGAACATCAACCTCTGGATGTATACTATGGAGGCAGGGGCTTAAGAATAATGGATGGGCTTTCTTGCCCCTCAGAACAATCTGCATTTGGAACTTCCACCATCTTCCATGCTAAGAAAACTCTAAACTAGGACTAACCATTAGAAATACGAGGTGAGCCACATGCTGAATTTTAAGTGTTTTTAGAAGTCACCTGGAAAGTAAAGTAAAAGTAAAGCTAAACAGGTGACATTAATTTTGCCAATATATTTTATTTAATTTCTCATTTCAACATGTAGCAAATATAAAATACTTAATACTTAAAGTCTGTTGGATATTTTGCATTTAAGGAATGTCCCAATTCAGGAGCTAAATTCTCATTCAAAACACTTGACCTGTGTTTAGATTTCASAAAATTTATAGTTGAAAAAGCAGCCACACCTTCAAGTTGCTCCAAACATACCTGAAAGTTTTCAAGTGACTAACATGAGTCAAGGTTTTAAAAYTCAGATTTGGATGGATTAAAATGAAACCTTCAGCTCTTTGGTTGAACTAGTCACATTTCAATAGCCACCTGTGGTTAGTGGCCACCATGTTGGGCAGCTCAGCCCTGGGCAGTGGATTTTTAAAAGAAATGTCCTTGGGACTTTTCCTACCAGGACTAGAAACAGTTTTCTACTCCTRTAGTATCGTCAGTGAGGGAATCAGAGCAGTTGGTGACATTCACCTATCTACCCCTACAGGTAAAATTCTAAACCAGAGCCTCCCACCCTGTCTGTGTAGTTTATGACTGGTAGTGAGAAGAACAGAAGCCAAAGCAGGGGTATTTGCATTCACCACCCTTTCTGAGCAAGGGGGTTTCATCAACGTTTGGCAATCTCTCTCTCGATTGAAGATTTCCATTCTTCCCAGTTGACAACTCCTTCAACCCTCCTTTCCCCAAGCTGTCATTCCCGGCTCGATCATCACCACCGGCAAGAGCTTCCCAGACACAAGTCCCTTTTGGATCATCTCAGGGAAACCAAAGCATAGAACCAAAGCATACTTTTTTAAAGACAATGGAGAAACCGTGCCTCTGTAGAAGAAGGGAAGAGTCCCCCATTTCTCCTCCCACAGGAACAAAGCCTTTGCATGCAGCAAGGTCTGCAGGCCAGGGGGAGGAGGAAATGTTTGGGGACCTRTGGACAGTCCTCAGGCTCTCTTATTCCTCTCCTGAGGACGTGATTCACTGAGCATATGCTAGGGCAGCTGCCATCTTCCCTCCCCGCTCTTGTTTGGATACCACATGCGCCCCATCAGCACAGGACACTTACCCTGGGTCCTTCAGGGCCAGGCCAGCCAACAGGCCCAGGCATGCCAGGAACACCTGGGGGGCCAGGTCTACCCTTCAAGAACCAAGAACAAAAGTCAGGAAAAAGTGGGCAAGTGTTTCCTTCCTTCCAAGAATATCTGGGATCCAGGAATGAAAATGGGGCCTCCAAACGTGGCCCCCAGATTCTCAGCCTCGCCCTTTAAAGACGAGGCCCTAAAATGTTGGAACTCAGGTGTAGGTTAAATCCTTGATGTCATAGAGTATCACCAAACAGGATTTTATTTTACCCAAGGAGTGGAGGATAGTGGGAAAGAAAGTCTGAATGTCTTTGCTTTCCAATCTCTGTCACCTCCACCTACCTACCCTAATGTCTCCTGCATTCCAGTGGGTTCTCTCCACAAGGATGGGCTGTGGGATGAGATAGCATTAGCATGGGGAGCAGCAGCAGATGCTGTTGGTACCCAAGTCTTAAGGTCTTTTTACCTGTTCAKGGTGCCCATCCCCCGTGGCTACACTTCTCGCTAACAATTCATCTCTGCAACCTGCAACTGTGGAATTGGTGCTTGGGCAATTGGAACTGTCCAGTCATTTACATTGGCTCTTTCTGCAGCCAATGGTCCAGATCCCTTACCTCAAGGCAGGACCAACCATCAGGCAATCCATGCTCCAAAGCTTTCCTAGGGATCAGGCTACTAAGGCTGGACTTCACCTTATACTATATCTTTGTTCCGCTTCTCCCGCTCTCTCCAGACACCTCCTCTGGTGAGAACTCCCTTAATAATTTATTCACTTCTGCCTGCTTCTACGAAATCCAACCTAAACCAAGGACTACAAGAATCAATTGGAGAATGGGCTCGGGGTCTATCTGGACCTCTGTACCCACTGGCTAATTTCACAGTTAGCTAGAGATTAAAGGGTGCAGAGAAGCCAAAGGCTACCATGTGCACTGATTCCTACTCTTGCCTCCCACACCCGGGGCAGATATCATCAATCAACATGGCCCTTGTTCTCTCTTAGCAGGGGACCACTCCAGAACCCTGCTCAGCCCACTATGCTGTGGCTGGCGTTGTCATCGGTACCTGGCAAACATCTGGTTAAGGCTTCTATTGACAGCAAAACCATTTGAATAAAACACTTCACCAGGAATAGAGTCATCTCTATTTCGAGTCCTGGGCATCTTTCTTGGCCAACATTTTACCCTTTTTTCATTCACAAGACCTGGGGTTTCAGTGCCGGTATCCACTGATCACAACTAGCAAAAGAGTCTGCTGCTTTGCTCCTCCTTGACACTCATGAGAGTCTTGATAAACCACGTTGGGTTCACACAGAGGCACTGTGACCTTAAGTAACTGTGACCTTAAGTAACTCCCATTTTTCTGGAGCCAAAGAGCAAAAGCCATTTGTTTCTATCTGCTCGGTCATTTTATTCCAGTTTCATCAAATAGGTAAGGTAGCCTGAGCCTGAGGGCAATTTGGCCAGGCTTGTCAACTCCTGGAAGAAGTCTGAATGCCTGGCTTTGGCAGGCTCCAGCTCCTGACTGAGGACCAGGAAGGAGAATGAGCAAGGCTACTTGTCATCATCAGGATGGCCACACCATCACTGTCCACCTGGGTCCTGGTAGCCACACAGGAGTGTATCATTGCTTCCCCGCCCCAGGAGTGCACACACACTCACACGCATGTGCAGCACAGTTGCCCGGATGGTGCTCACAAAACAGCAGGGTCCATACCTTCCTTCCTGGTCGGCCAAGCTCCCCCTGTGGATGGAGAAGACAGGTCAACAGAAGCAGCTCTGGGAGAGAGGTTCTGGCAGCAGAAGGCCTACTAGGGCGGATGACTGGTCGTGGCAGTGTGGCTCAGCCTGTTGACCAGTCACTTGGCTGGTCACAGCATCCCTGTGGGGCTAGTGGGCCAAATCAGAATACACCAGTGTGCCCTGGGCCCATTATCAGGGCCCGTCCTCACACACTCTAGGCAGAATGGTCTCAACTGGTAAAATCTCAGCRGCACCCCCCAGAAATCAAGCTGGAATTACCCAGGAGAGGTGGGTTGAAGAAAAGAGTGGCTCATACCTTTTCTCCCTTTGGTCCTGTCTTGCCAGGAAGTCCAGGTGGACCCTATACAATTAAAGACAAGAATGAAGAAAGAATATACCCAACCAAGGCGGGGCTGCTGGGGAGGGAGGGGGAGGGGGAGGGAGGGGGAGGGGCTCCTACAGAAGCAGCCTTGATCCCCCTTCTGCCCTGCAACCCCTTCCCCTCTCTATTCCTCCTCCTCCTCAACTTTCTTGGCACTGTGTTTCCAGCAGTGCTAACCCATCCACACTCAGTGACTGTGATTTTTACCCTGGAGCCTTTTGATTGCCTGAAAACTCTTGAGAGCTTATTGAGAACAACTAAAGAGATCGGCAGAAATCCTGGTAGCTGAAAACACGACCCTTTACCATCTCTCATGTCTTTTCAGCTACTCACATCAAGCTTCTGGGGGGCCCTGACAAGAGGGAAGTTAAGTTTTGTCCCCAGCAGCAGCTGATTTAGAATACCCCGTGGTGGATCTGTGGGTACCAAGATCAACCTTCCCACCTGGAGCAGCAAAATTCTCTTTCACTTTTTTTTTTTTTTTGGATAGGGGATTGAACTCAGAGGTGCTTTACCACTGAGCCACATCTCCAGCTCTTTTTTTTTATTATTTTTATTTTGAGACTGGGTCTCACTAAGTTGCCAAGGGGCATCACTAAGTTCCCGAGGCTGGCCTCAAACTTGCAATCCTCCTGCCTCAGTCTTCTGAGTTTAGGAGGGATGACGGGTCTGTGCCACCATGCCTGGCAAAGGTGTCCTTTTTAAAATGGGAAGAATGCGAGCAAGTAAACTCACATTTCTGTCCCCATGGTCAGCCACAGGAGTGAGGTGATTCCACCTCAGGGGCTCTAGAACCCATTGCCCCCAATGCAACGCACGTCCACAGCAAAATTGCAACTGATTTCTGCTTACATGTCTGTGGGGTGCTCAGTCACTATTTTCTAAATTCCCCAGGACTACAGGAAACCCATCAAAATCCCTCAGGCACCCGCCACAGCCCTAGGATCTGCAGGTGAACATGCACCGAGTAGAGACTGTTTGAAATAGGATTTCTCACCAGGCATGAGACCCTGCCTCTAAATAAAATATAAGAAGGGCTGGGATGTGGTTCAGTGATTAAGCATCCCCTGGGTTCCATCCCTGGTAGAAAACAAGACAAAACAAAAAAACAGAAAAGGAAAGAAAAGAGAAATGGGATTTCTCTGAAACTTGTCAAAACCACCAAGAGCCTGGCCCCCTCAGCCAGTGATTCCCAGACCTAGCAGCACATTCCAATCCCCTGGGGAATCTTCAAAAAAAAAAAAAAAAAAAAAACCCAAAGCCCAGTTCACACACTGGACCAGTCAAATAAAAATCTCAAAGGGGAAAAAAATATAAGCCTTAGGAATTTTTGAAGCTTCCCAGCTCAGAGAGTATGGAGAACCCAAGAGAACCTCATTGGGGCTGAGCTGGGTGTCTCTCTGTGATGGAGCCCCTCTCTGAGGCAGGCCAGAGGAGCAGGAATCTGAAAGAGGGTTTCTGGAGGGTAATCTTTTGTTTGTCTAGAAAATTCTTTCTCTAGCAGTTTGCCTGTTCCTCACTTTCCCCACCACCCTCGGTGAGGAGAAGTGGGCTTCTGGGTAGCAATACCAGGGGCCCAAGGAAGCTCCTCTTACCCCCACTTTTCTGTACTAAATGCAGGAACCTCTGGGCCCACAGATAGGGCCAATGGTCACATGAGGCCCATTATCATCAAGGGTTTGTCCAATGCTAACTAAATCATAGCCACATCCATAGGGGCAGTATCTCTCTTGATCCCCCAAAATCCAGTATGACAGAAGCAACTAAAAAAACATCTTTTGGTTTGTTTCTTTATTTTCCTTCCTTTCATTTTATTTTCCTCTCGAAGGGGCAATTATTATGATTATTATCCCCCCCTGGCATAGATGAGGAAATCACAGCTGGGAGCTGAGAATTCACCCAGGTGGCTCTGGAGTGGCAAGTAGGAAGAGAAAGAAAACTAATTTTCCACATCACATTAAAAGGGGCAGACACCATGAAACTCTACCCAGGGGGCTCCCCTGGGTTGGTACAGAAGGCAGGAGGGAGGAGTCTGGTAGACACCCACCTGGGGGCCCGGGGGTCCAGGGGAGCCGAGAGAGCCCTGCATGCATGGGGACTGTGTGGTCTCGAGTTCCAGGAGGAGATTCTTCATGTCTGGGGAGAGAAGCTTCAGTGCAAAGCAACACAGTGTTAGAAGTCGGACTCGGGGGACAGAGGAAGGGTCACCTCCCTGGACACAGCTCTACTCCAGGGTCAGGTCCAAGACTGGCAATTCCCTGACACAGCAGTATGTGTTCTGAGAAGTTGACCTTTGGGGCCACCAGTTTCAGTTCTCTCATCTGCTCTTGAGACCCACCCGGCACAAATGGGTTACTGAGCTCGCAAGGCCACTGTGGATGGAGTTAGGAAGCTCATTTCAGGACCTTATCCCATGTCTAGGATAGGAGTGTCTAAAAGAAATATAATGCAAAAGAAATATCCAAAAGAAACATAATGAGAACTACATCGTACTTTAACATTTTTTCTGGTAGCCACATTTTTTCCTTTTGAAAAGGTAAAAACAAACAAGTGAAGTTAATTTTACAATATGTTTAATTTAACCCAACAGACCCCAAATATTATCACTCCAGCATATATTCAGTACAAAAAGTGACTAATGAGGCATTTTACAATCTTTTTTTTCCTCATATGAGGGCTTCACGCTCCTGTTTATTTATTTATTTCAACCAAGAATCCTCAGAATTTAATTGTATTATAGATTAAACATACCCAACAGGCCTTTAAAGAGCAGTTCATCCAACACATGTATATATTTTATTCAGTGCATACACAAACTCCTGTTTATGTTTAACATAAACAGCCTATCTCAGTGTGAACATTGAAAGTGCTCAGAGCGCTAGTGGCTATGATTTTGGACAGTATAGGTCTAGGAGATTCCAGAAAGATCTGAGTATCTCAAGTCCCTAGAATGCCCTGGATGGATGTCTTCTAAGTCCTGAGTCCTGCTCCTTTCCTTTCTTCCCCAAATCTGTTCCCTCTCATCCCTCAGTGTGGCTACCGAAAGGCTCTTTCCTGTGTCACTCCATGAACATGGTCTACATAAGTCATGGGCTGTGGAAGGGAATTTATCGTTTCTTGTCCTTTAATTGGCACATCATGTTTGTACATATTTATGATACACTATGATAATTCCATACGTGTCTATAATGTGTCATGATCAAATCAGGGTAATTAGCGTTGTGGTCTCCTCAGACCTTTATCATTTCTACATGTTGGAATTCTGGGGGGCTCTCCACTTCTAGTTATTTTGAAATATATCATAAATTGTGGTAGGCTGTCCCTACTGTGCTCTAGAACACGGGAAGTGTGTTTTGGTACCTGTTATACAACCTCTTTCTATTTCCCCTTCTATACCCTGCCCCCCCATTTTATCCAGATTCCCCCATCCCCCAGGGATTTTTGTAAATGCTTGGGGAGAAGAAAAAGGTAAAGGGAAATTCCATATCTGAATAGCTGATGAGAACCCAGAAATTCATTAAAAAAAAAAAGTTGGGACATTTTGCCAAATTCAACTCCCATGGGAAAAGACCCTCTCCAACATTGCTGATTTAAGACAGCAGGAGGACAAATACATTCCAGAAACTGCAAAGTGTCCATTTTAGGGTTCAAACTCAGAGTGAGAATAAAGGGTTGACTCTATAGACAGAGTCTGCAGGCAGCCCCTGTTGAGTGGGTGGGGTGCAGAATGGGCATCCAGAAGCCTGGAATTCTCTGCTCTCCCAAGCCCCATGTACTTACCGGACTTCGGCCCCCTCTGAGGAAGGGTGGTGGGAACAGTGGGGGCGGAGGGGGTGTCAGCAGGCAGCATGCTTTGTGGCTGCCACGCTTCTTCTGATCCAGGCCAGGAAGGGCTGTATGAAGAAAACTGCTGCTCGTTAGCGTGAGTTCCGAGCTAGGCTCTCTGCCATGCCCAGCACACCCCAGGGAGACCCATGCGGCCACCCCAGACTTCCAAATCTAATTTCTAACCTGTTAGAGATGGGAGCAGAACTCCTGTCTGCTACTTGACAAGCCCTTGTATTGCTTTTGCTGAATTAAAATGGTGACCATTGTAAGATCCTTCTTCACAGGTTGGTAAATACCTAGGAGCGAAATTGCTGGGCTATAGTTCACGTCTATGTTCATCTTTTAATAGAAAATAGCAAGCGATTTTCCAAAGAGATTATACTGACTTACACTCCCACCAGCCAGTGGAGGACAGTTTCTCCTTCTACTGAGATTAACTTGTAGATTTTGTAGACGTGGCAAGGAATGCCAAGTTCGGATGGTAGTTGAGGAGTTGTGTCCCCATTAGTTGGGGAGAAGGAAGTGTTTGTTAAAAACTTTGATACTAAGGAGGAAATCATTCAGACAGGAAGGCAGCAAGGGCTGGAGGTAGGGTTAATTGATTTCAAGGTACTTGGACCCATGATTAAAATACAGACTTCAGGATGAACCCAACTTCTATATATAACTATAAAGACCTAATAAAAATAAAATAAAATTCAGACTCCACTTATATACAAGGATCACCCATTTCATAAAGAGTCATAGTATAGTGTCTCAATACTTGGGTGTCCTAATCCCAAGTGTGAGGACCTGCAGAGCTTGATTTTCAGGTGGGATCTTGCCAATATTCGATCTCAGCACACATTCAATGTTGAAGCATGCTTTACAAAAAGAATGCAGATCACAAGTTACAGCCCAGTAGATTTCTGTGAAGTGAACCGACTCTAGAAACCAGCACCCAGATCAAGAAATAGAACTCTCCAGGACCAGAAGCCCCTCACACTCCAATCTGTATTCCTCACCCACCACCATCCTGAATTCTAACACCAGGGATTCATCTTGCCCATTTAGACATTCTATATAAATGGAACCATACATTATGAATTCTTCAGTTTGTCTTCTCTTGCTTAACCCAAGARCCATCCAGACTGATTTTCTCAGTTGTTACTGCTGAATGAAGTTCCATGTGGTTAGATCACAATCTACTCATCGATTGATGAGTGGGTAATGGTGGGCAATGGTGAGGTTCATTTGGGGTGATACTGCTAGCACCCACCAGAATAGCTAAATGAAAATGGAAGAGACTACCAGGAAGCAAAGTCTGGCTGTCTGGCTTTGCTCTGGATTGGATAATGTCAGAAAGCAAGGGCTACTCTGACTGGCGACTTTAATTCCTTTTTTTTTTTTTTTTTTTTGAACCAGGATATTGAACCCAGGGATGCTTAACCACCAAGCCACATCCCCAGCCCCTTTTAAAAATTTTTTATTTTGAGACAGGGTCTCACTAAGTTGCTCAGGGCCTTGCTAAGTTGCTGAGGCTGGCTTTGAACTTGCCATCCTCCTGCTTCAGTCTCCTGAGACACTGGGATTACAGGCATGTGCCATATTCTTATCTGGAAGAAGAGGTGCTACAAACAAGGATGTAAAACAGCCAGAACTGTCATCCATTGGCTGGGGGGAATGTAAGTTTTGGTATAACCTCTTCAGAAAACTGCTTGGTATTTTCTATTAAAGGTAAGCATACACATAGGCTATGGCCCCACAATTTCACTCCTAGCTATTTACCAACAGAAAGGTAGGCGTTTTTTCACCAAAACACAAGTAAATAGAAACAATATTCATAATTGCYAAAATGAATGAATTTTTAGTTCCTAGTTTTTTTGAGGTTTTTATTTGTTTTGTACCAGGAATTGAAACCAGAGGAGCTCTATCACTGAGCTAAACCCCCAGCCCTTTTTATTTTTTATTTCGAGATGGGGTGTCAGTAAGTGGCCCAGGTTGACCTCAAACTTGCAATCCTCCTGCCTCAGCCTCTGGAGTTGCTGGGATTACAGGAGTGTGCCACCATACGTGACTTTGTTCCCAGCTTTAGTCTTATAATGGGACCCTTACCTTTACCCCATAACAGAATCTCCGACATCGCAGAACGTTTTCAGGTTTCCCACTACATAGGCAGTTCTCACTCAGTTTTTAGTCTTATCACCAGGAAGCTTCTCTTCACTTCCCAGGCCAAGGTTGAGTGGCCCTTCTACCCTGCTATGTTTTTCTCTGGGTTTATGGTCATGTTAGTTCTTCCTCCCAGAGGAAACCGTTTCATTATATCTTCTTGGTTAAACTGTACTTTCCAGGTGGACAGGAGTCAGTTTTCATCACCCGTCTCTAACAGTGTACCTCGTAGACAGTAGGTGCTCCACAAATGTTTGCTGAACTAATAACACACACACACACACACACACACACACACACACACACACACACACCAGGGATTGATCCCAGGGGCATCTAACTACGAAGCCACACCCCCATCCCCACTCCTTTTTAATATACTTTATTTTTAGATAGAGTCTCCCTGGGTTGCTTAGAGCTTCTCTAAGTTGCTGAGGCTGGCTTTGAACTCACGATCCTCCTGTCTCAGCCTCCCAATGATCCTCCTGCCTCAGCCTCCCAAACTACTTGGATTACAGGCGTGTATCACCGTGCCCATCTGAACTAATAATATTAATGACAAACACTACAAGGCAGTGTAGTTCGTGTGTATAAATTTACCTAATCCTCAAGACAACCCTGAGAACTAACTGCTATTATTATCTCCAACCCCATTTTACAGGTCTGTTAACCAAAGCAATGAGCTAAGCAATTTGCCCCATCCTATAGCTAGAAAATGACAGAGCCCAGACTTGAACCCAGGCGGTCTGGTTTCTGAATTCTTCCTCATAAACTCTATACCATGACTCCTATGGGTCAAAATGAAGGTCAGGGACTGAGAGGGAGGCAAGGAGCTCCTAACAACCCCTAGAGACTATTGTATCAATGTTCTCCAGAGACCACTGAGAATATAACTAGTCCAACCAAGTTGGGCTGTCAGAGTCCTTGCAACAGGATGTACACACAATCAGAGGACCCTGGAGGCATCCCAATAAGAGAGTGTTAGAAAGAATTTATTCTAGGATTTGGGGTTTTGCTAGGTGATTTGGAGGGAGACCATGAGAAGCAAAAGTCTGGCTTTGCTTTGGATTGAATGCTTTCAGGAAGCAAGGGCTACTCTGATCAGGCACCTGAATTCTCACCTAGAAGAGGAGACTAAATCTGCAAAGGGTGAAAAGTAGCTGTTACTCATATTTGCAAGGATGGGGAAACGTTCATTTTCGTGGCTGGATGACAGCCATGCTTTTGTCTGTGTTGGGTTATGGTTTTCGGGTGCTCCTGTTTTCATGCGGATCCCTCAAGGTCATGGAATGGTGCTGCCTGAGGTTGGTGTTCTGGGAATTTGTTCACATGCTGAAAGGGGACATGTGGCAAGCTGTGAGCATTGGGTCTGCTCCAGCTGACACCGGCTGCTTTTCCCTAGTGGTGAGAGGTAAGTTCTTCTTTTTCTTTTGGTCCTGGGGATTGAACACAGGGGCACCTAACCACTGAGCCACATCTCCAGCTCTTTTTTATGTTTTATTTAGAGATAGCATCTCACTGAGTTGCTTAGGGCCTTGCTACTTTGCTGAGGCTGGCTTTGAACCCACAAAACTCCTGCCTCAGCCTCCCAAGTCACTGGCATGAGGGCATGTGCCACCGTGACCAGCAGAAGGTTGTTCTTGACCTTGACATTGATGCCAGTTCTTTCCTAAAGTGTGAACTAACTAGGAGTGGGCAGCTTCAGTTGCCACCCTACCTGGGGCACACGGAGAAGGTGGCAGATGTATACCAACAGTACAGTTTCTCGGCAGTCTCTCTTTTTCCTTTGCACAGGGCTAAGGGCTGGGTAAGGCTTCAGCTTTCTGCAAAAATCTCTCCCGGCTAGGATCACCTGAGAACCTGGCAGTTCCCCTTCAGCTAATTTGCACTCATTTATTTTTCCAGACCATATACGGCTTCCAGTGCCTTCCTTTCTTCCCCCAGGACCCTGTGTGGCTCCCATTGATGAAACATCTTGTATCATTTTAAGGCAGTCACTTTGCTTCTCTGATTTCTTCCTGGAAACTGGAGACCTCTTCAGGGACCATAAATTATCAGTTGCTTTTCTTGCAAAGGCATCTGCTTTGCCCGCACCCCCACTCCACCCTAACCCCCCGCCCCGAATCCCTCCTCCCTCTTTCCCCCTTGACCCACTTCATTTCCAGCAGGTGAAGGCCATTGATCCCTGCCCCTCCCCCAACTCCCTGGAGCTGTTTGTTTTTAGCCCAGTCTAGTTTATTTACAGCTCATTCCAGCTCAGAATATTTCCATCAGGTGGCCGTGTGTGGGAGCAGCTCTCCCCCTTCCCACCCTCCCCATCAGCTAAGCCAGGACTTCACATGTCTATTTTGGTGTCCTGAGAGTGGCCTGTGGGTCTCTCTCAGGACTATTGCTGTCTCTGTTGGAATCATGTCTGGAAAAGCCCCAGAAGCCTCTGTTGTGATGGAAACAATTGTGTGTGGATGTCCAGGGGCCTGCGGAAAACCAGTGCCCCACGGRGCTCAGCTCCCGGCCAGCTGTCTTGAAAAAGCCAACTGTCACAGAATTTCAGGACTGTTGACCTCACTTAAAGACACCAAAGTCACATCACACGTGGCCACTGCATTTACAAATTATGGGTAATTGTCTAATGCAGGCTTTTGGCAAGTGTTTGGGGGTTCCCCCCCCATGGTTCATGCTAGTTTTGCCCTTTGGACTCAGTAGTCAGTCTCCTGTTTCATCTTGAGAAACTGAGGGGTATCCTTGGAAAGAGACTCACACCAACTTACTCTTGGAAATGTAGGGACTTGTRTCAAAGAGTGTGATCTGGGTGCAAGCGGATGTGTGATATGGTGCAAGTCCCGTCCTCAACCTGAGACTCAGTTTCCTGATCTGTACCASAAGGGATTTGATCCACCCCATCTCCAAGGTCCTTTTTAAAAATAAACACAATCCAGTCACAAGGGCAATCATTAAGAATACAAGTAACAATAAATATTGGCGAGGATGTGGGGGGAAAGGATGCACTTAAACATTGCTGGTGGGGACTGCAAATTCGTGCAACCACTCTGGAAAGCAGTATGGAGATTCCTCAGAAAACTTGGAATGGAACCACCATTTGACTCAGTTATCCTAGTCCTCAGTCCATATCCAAAGGACTCAAAATCAGCATACTACAGTGACACAGCCACATCAATGTTTATAGCAGCACAATTCACAATAGCTAAGYTATGGAACCAAACTAGGTGTCCCTCAATAGATGAATGAATAAAGAAAATTTTACAGATGCACAATGGAATATAACTCAGCCATAAAGAAGAATGACTTTATGAGTTTGCTGGTGACTGGATGGAACTGGAGACTATCACACTAAGTGAAACAAGCCAATCTCCAAAAAACCAAAGACTGAATGTTCTCTCTGATATGTGGATGCTATCACATAATAAGGGTGAAGGGGAAGAATAGAATAGAAGCTCATGGGATTAGACAAAGGGGAATGAAGGGAGGGGAGGGGATTGGGAATAGGAAAGACAGTGGAACGAATGGGATGTAACTTTCCTGGGTTCATATATGAACACACGACCAGTGAAACTCCACATCACRTCCAACCACAAGAATGGGATCCTAACTAGAATAAAGTTAGACTCCATGTATATAGAATACACTCTACTGCCATGTATATCTAGAAAGAACAAATGCAAGAAGCGACCCGAGAAGTCATCCTGCATCAGCAGGTTGGGAAACATGGTGAGTGCAGCCACATGCTGAKATCCTGCCGCTGCTGGTCCAGTTGGTGGACTGCTGCACATTTTGCTTCCTTCTCCCCCTCCTGCTTTGGGGCCTTAACCTGCCTCCCAAGACTGGTGTTAGAAGGAGGCCTGGGGATGACTGAGAGATGGTGGGGGGCACCTGTGACACCCTCCACAGCATCACCTGGTGCCCCAATAGTTGTCTGGACATCTCAGCAACCAACAAGTTATCAGACTAACTGGCTACAGTCTGCCCAAAGTTTCCCATGATGTACCTATTCCACAAAAGGCTGAACCCTAGAACTTTCCTTCACCCACCCTCCCCRCCCCTGCACACACCACACAAGCCTTAAAGCTCAAATCTCTTCCTAAAAGTAGGRACTTCTCTGAAAGACCAGGGTAGAACTTTGCTCTTTATGACTCGCACCCAGAGTGGGCCCAGGGGACAGGTGGGGACGCAACCTACAAAGAAAATGATTTGGTGTTTTGGTGGCTGCTGCTTCTAAGCCATGTTACCTAAACTAGCTGGCCTGGAGAGCGTCCCAGCCACCTTATGCCAGGGGACCCTGGACTGCAGAACACAATTTCATCTCAAAGCCGAGGGAACAGCAGCTACCAGCCTGCTACCCTGAAGTCAAGGTCACAAGAAGAGCACAAAAAATGGGCACCTATGTTGAGTCCCCACCCACCCCTCTACCAACCCCCTTCACCCTGCAATCCCAACACTGGCTGAGAAGTTTAAAATGTTGCAGTCTTCTCAGAGATCCCAGGGTAGGTCTGCTCTCCAGGTTTTTTTTCTTGTTTTTTTTTTTTTTCCCCCCAAACCATCGGAGCAGGCGCATGCACACAGGACTCACCCAGGCAGCAAGCCGAGTAGCACARCAGTCCCGAAAGGGTGAGCAGATGAGCCAGGCTGAATGATGGGCGCGTCATGGTGGGGCAAGGCCCAAGGCAGACTGGCCCGGGGACGCGAGCTGGAGACTGGCTGGGATTCGTCACGCCCCCAAGTGCTCCCTGAGCCTGGCCTGCTTGGCATTTGGGGTGGGAGCTGGCCAATCCCTGCTTTGATGTTGCTTCTGCCCCAGATGCCAGGGGTCCAGGGGCCAGGGATGGGTAGGCAGCCCTGCCCTGGCCACCCAGCAATGCTCCTCTGGGGCAGGCTGGGAAGACAGACTGGCCTCCGCCCCTGGGAGGACGGGATGTGAGGTTGGGAGMCCAGGGCACTGATCACCCCCGCAGGCTGAGAGGAAATGAAGTGCAATCCATCAAACAGGCTGCTTTTCATTTGGCTCCAAAAAAGCCCCCATCAGTACTGCCTCTGGCAAGACTCACAGCCAACCTCCAGTGGACAGTGTCCAAGGAGGCTCCGCCTTCCTGTTTCAGGGAAGACCTTGGTGGCCAAGGGGTCTCTCTATGTCTGTGCCAGCGTGCTGCCRACAAAGCCAAACTTAATTATCACAACAACAACAAAACACTCTCTCTCAGCCTCTCTATCTCCAAAGAGCATGAGGGCAAGCCTTTCCATTTCATTTCATTTATTTATTTTTGGCGCTGGGGATTGAACCAAGGGCCTTGTGCATGCTAAGTGTTCTACYGCTGAGCTACACCCCCAGCCTCAAATCTTTTTAGATGAAACCTGCTCTTAAAATAATAAAATGGCACGTGCCGGCTACATGCTGAAATCCACCTGATGCTTTACAGGCACACCCAAAGCATAAGCACAAACACACGATATCCTAGGTCATAAAAGACAAGATTACTAGTACTTTGCAATAAGTACTGCTTTGTTTGTTTTGGGTTTTGGTACCAGGGATTGAATCCAGGGCACTTAACCACTGAGCCCCATCCCCAGCCTGTTCTATATTTTATTTAGACGCAGGATCTTGCTGAGTTGCTTAGGACCTCACAGAGTTGCTGAGGCTGACTTTGAACTCATGATCCTCCTGCCTCAGCCTCCTGAGCTRCTGGGATTACAGGTGTGTGCCACTGCACCTGGCAGCACTGTCGCACTCAGTAAAGACTATGAATTGTAACAAGAGTCAGCAAACTTTTGTTATAAAGGGACAGAGAGTAAATGTTTGAGGCTTTGTGGGTCACAAGGTCTCCTTTGCAACTTATACATAAAAGCAGCCATTATACATAAAAGCAGCCATAGACAATATATAAAGGAATGAGTGAGACTGTGTTCCAATAAAACTTTACTTATAAAAATAGGGGGCAGGCTGGATTTAGCCAGTAGGCTACAGTTTGCCCACTATATTTTTCATTCTATTTATATGGAGTAAAAAAGAGAAGTGGTTAACAGGAGTGGGGATGTCTGGAGGGATTTACAGGAGGGAGAAATGAGTACCAGTTGAGGGTGAGGGGATATGAGTGAAAAAATCAGAGGAGGCTTCCTGGAGGAGGTGGCATATGAGCTGAATGAGCCTTGTAAGGAAAGATGGAGGGGGAAGAAGGCAGACTCTGTTCCTTCTCTGGGGAATTTGCCTGTGTTCTTCTCAGAAACAGGATCTAAGACACCACAAGAAGCAGTAAGGAGGACAGGGAGTGCTCAGTCCTGAGCCAGGACACCTGCAGAAATATCATCTGCATTACATTTTCCCAGTGTCCCCTGCTCTGGGTCACATCCCTCCTGGTCATATTTCAAATTTCACTTCAAGCCTTTGGAGTTGGAAGTTTTGCACTTTCCACATCAAAAGCATTCATATCTTTACTCTATGACACCTTACACAGCCAATCTACTCAGTAGTACCTGTGTCACTGATGTAAAACCAAAGGCGACTGGACTAGCTGATGGCCGGGCTCCTGTCCAAGTCTGCAGGTGTTTGAACCTCTTTTTTTTTTTTCACACCAGAGATTAAACCCAAGGGTACTTGACCACTGAGCTCCATCCCCATCCCTCTTTTTTTTTTTAAAGAGAGAGAGAGAGAATTTTTTAATATTTATTTATTTTTTAGTTTTCTGCATACACAATATCTTTGTTGGTATGTGGTGCTGAGGATCGAACCCGGGCCGCACGCATGCCAGGCGAGCGCGCTACCGCTTGAGCCACATCCCCAGCCTCCCAGCCCTCTTTTATATTTTATTTAGAGACAGAGTCTCACTGAGTTGCTTAGGGCCTCGCTAAGTTGTTGAGGCTGGCTTTGAACTCACGATCCTCCTGCCTCAGCCTCCCAAGTTGCTGGGATCACAGGCCTGTGCCACCGCGCCTGGCTGAACCTCTAGTTTGAACCTAATTACTGAAGCTCATGGGTGTCTCTTCCAGTCTCCCTCTCTTCTCCTCCTCTCTACTGTGGCTGCTTTTTTTTTTTTTTTGGTAAGTCTTGTTCTCTATGTCCTCTGTCTTCGCAGCACTAACAGTTGAATTTCCTTAGATCAAATGCCTGTGTGTATACTAGACCTTTCAGCTGCCTCTCAACCTGGGAGTCAGGAACCCTGTTCTCCAGCCCTGGCAGTAACTTGCATCCCCTTTGGGCCTCAAATTTTCCAGATGTCAACGGGGAGCAGCATGCACCAGATGAGCTCTGTGCCCTTTCCAGCTTTTCTGTGATTCCTGAAACATAATGGCCCCGCCTAAGGGTCCTCGATGCAATGGAGGATCTCTCCTCTTCGTCCTGCTGAGCAATCTTTGGCCTCCAGTTCCCCCAGGTGCCTTGGCCCAGGCACCAGCTTGCCACGGCAGAGCTGCCTGCAAAATCTAATTCCTAATCAAAGTTTCTGGGGCCTTCCTGCAGCTGTCTCCAGGTGTCATATTCACAGTATTTTGTCTTAATTGCAGGTCTGGGATTTATCAACCAGGCCAGAATACCGCTTCTGGAATACTGCCTCCCTGGGCACTGCTCCAGAAAATTTGCCCCTGCTGCTGCCACTCGCCTTCCCGGGCCAGCAGCTACCTCCACTCCAGTTGGCTGCAGATTGGGGCCAATGTGGATTCTGCTCTGCATCTTCCTCCTGCCGGGTTTCCCGTCACTACCCCACAGAGAGATTTTGGGGGGCCTAGATAACACAGGCACCCTTCTCAGAGGTCAGGAGGCAAAGATGTCTGCTTGTTTGCGGCCAGAGCCTGGGGTCTCAAATCTGTTGTCCCATCCCAAAACTTTGGTAGTCCCAGAAGTAGGTTTGAGGACCCGACTTCTCCCCGACAGCTATGAAAGACTCCCCTTGGCCAGACTTTAGCTGGGCTCCTCTTTCCTCTGCTCGACTAGACCTTGAACTTGGACTTCTGTGTCCTCCCTGGCAGTATCCAATTATAGCAAGAATCCTGAAAAGTCAGCTTAGGAAGAATCCCCCATCCTTGACATCTAATCAAATTCTGAACCCAGGGGTGCTTAACCACTGATCCATATCCCCAGCCCCTTTTTTTTTTTTGTATTTTATTTAGAGACAGGGTCTCACTGAGTTGCTTAGGGCCTCACTAAGTTGCTGAGGCTGGCTTTGAACTCATGATCCTTCCGCCTCAGCCTCCTGAGCTGCTGAGCCTGTGCCCCTGCACCCGGCTCCTTCCTCACCCTTGATATCTTACCACCCTGTCCTGACTTCCATAAGAATCCAATTAAGTTGGTTTAGACAGAATCCCCCTATACTTGATGTCTACTGTTGGTAATTTTCCACCCGCTCACCTAACCTGTTCCTTAGCTATAAATCTTTACTTGTCCTTGTACCAGGAGCTGACCTTGTCCTAGTCTTTGAACCTGTGGCAGACACCTTGAATTTTTTCCTTACCATTTTAACAAGTGCCAGGATAATCTTCAACATTACCTCCACATTCAATGCTTTTGTTCCTTGGGAGGGACCCATAGCAGGTTCTACTTAAGCACACAAACATTTATTAAAGGCTTACTGTGTGCCAAGCCTTCCATATGCCACCAGAATATAGAGATGAAGAAGCTCATGGCCTGACCCTTGGAAGGAAAAGAGTTATCATCTCATCTGCTCACTTGTGCTGATTGGTCTGAGTTTCCTGGAAGAGTGCCTCATGAAGGATTCTGAGAAGAGGGCCATGATATATTGCCCTTCCTGTAACTCCTGCCCTGCATGCTCGCTTGCTGACCCTTACTCTGTAAAATCATGAAACAACATGACACTGGGCTTAGCATTTTCCATACATTCTTGCTTTTTGTTCTCAGGACCAATTTATCTCTATTTTATGGAGAAGAAAGTGACTCTCAAAGAAATCAGGTCACTTGTCTGAACCACACAGCTAGTGCAGACATGGGGGCGGAGTTCAGAAGGAGCCTTGCACACAGACCAGTGAGGAGGTGCCCCCTCCTGGAGCCAGCTTCCCCAGCTCCTGGGGCAGCTCACTAGTCTCTGGCTAATAGCACTCTTCCTACTATTCTCATGCCACCTGGAGTCAGTTTCCCTCTGGTCCGGCCCTTCCCAGGCCAGCAGCTACCTCCACTCCTAACTGCCAGCTACTGACTTAACATCCCAAGACATCCTCAGAGTTGTGAATGTGCAGAGATGACTGACAGTTCCCCAAAAGGTGTGCACCGCCTTCCACAGGCTGGAGGAATCCCTGAGAAGTGGCTGTTTCTTGGTCCCCTCTGGGGGGATGATACGGAGGCAGGTGACTATTTTTGACAACAATTCTGCCTGAGTGCAGAGGACTCAATCCTTCAGGGATGGTGGAGCCATGAGAGGGAAAGACCCTGAGTTCCCCAATGCCCCTGGACTGGTAAGTGAGCATAAATGTTTTAAGTCATTAAAATCCTTATTTCCTGCAATAGGTGATATTGCCCCAACCCACCCGTGAGGCACCCAGCAATGGAGAACATTCTATGATGCTTCCTAGCCAATCCTTCTTTGTTCCCCAAACAACCTCATCATCATCATCATCATCATCATCATCATCATCATCATCATCCTCACTTTTAGATAAGGCCACAGGCGATCATGGGATGCAGCTATGATCAGACCCACCCAGTATGTATGACCCTGTAGGTAGTAGGTCGGGGTTCAATCCAGATTGAATGCAGTTAACAGCACAAAGTAATAACTCCTTCTACCTACCACCCCTAGAAAGAATGAGCAGGAAACATCAGGAAAATGGCATCTAGAAGAACCAGAGTCATTGCCTCACCCAGCTGGGGTGGAGCCTTTACCAAGACCCACAATCATGTTTTTCTAATCAAACTTTATGATTATTCATCTATGGATTCTGTTTCCTGGTCTGTAAACTCCTATGAG